TACACATCACATCACGACTACAGGACCACCTGTATTTTCTAAAGCACGCCGACTAGCTCCTGAAAAGCTAAGGTTAGCGAAAAACGAATTCGATCACATGATGGACTTAGGAATCATACGACCGTCAAGTAGCCCATATGCATCTCCGATGCACATGGTCCCTAAGAAGGACAGCAACGATTGGCGTCCAACTGGTGACTATCGGCGATTGAACGCGAAAACCATTCCCGATCGTTACCCGTTGCCTCACATTCACGATTTGACAGCTACCTTGAAAGGTACAACTGTCTTTTCGAAAATCGACTAGGTTAAAGCGTATAACCAAATCCCTACGGCTACTGACGACATACCGAAAACGGCTATCATAACTCCCTTCGGACTCTATGAATTTTTGCGAATGCCTTTCGGTCTAAGGAATGCTGCTCAAACATTCCAAAGATTCATAGACGACGTTTTTCGAGGCCTCAACTTCGTACACGCGTATGTTGATGACTGTCTAATCGCAAGTCCGGACAGAGAAACACATCTCAAGCATCTGGATCTTGTTTTCGAACGACTTCAAAAACATGGCATAACTGTAAACGTTCAGAAATGCCAATTTGGAACCGACTCGTTAGACTTCCTAGGACACACTATCGATGCTCAAGGCATTCGACCTCTTAGGACCAAAGTGGCGGCCATTCTGGATTACCCAGAACCGACCACCGTCAAGCAATTGCGCACGTTTTACGGCCTGGTAAGTTTCTATAGACGTTTCATACCCAAATGCGCATTACTTATGAAACCTCTGACCGACCAACTTCGTGGAAATGCGAAATCCATTAATTTGGACGACACCGCACGAAAAGCATTCTCCACAGTTAAGGAACTGATTGCTAAAGCAACAATGCTCGCACATCAGGACACCCGAGCACCCATTAGCATCGCAGTAGACGCATCCGACTCAGCAATCGGAGGAGTCTTACAACAATGGGTTAACAACTCCTGGCAACCCTTGGCCTTTTTCTCTAGAAGGTTGCTAGACACCGAATCGAGGTACAGCACATTCGGTAGGGAACTCCTAGCTATGTATTGTGCTGTACGGCATTTCCAACACTACATCGAAGGTCGTGAATTCACTCTTTTCACGGATCATAAACCGCTTACTTTCTCGTTAAGCTCTCCTTCTGACAAGTACTCTCCACGTGAGTCTCGACAACTGGACTACATTTCGCAGTTTACTTCAGATATTCAACACGTCTCTGGAGCAAACAATGTAGTTGCAGACGCTTTATCTCGTATAACTTCCTTGAACAGTTTCCAAGGAATCGACCTTCTTAAACTCGCCGAGCTTCAAACAGAAGACAGTGATCTTCAGCACGAGTTATCGTCCACAACACTTAAACTACGCATCAAACAGATGGGAACAGGTAAGGAAACCTTACTATGTGACACATCTACAGGTAGGGATCGCCCAATCGTGCCGAAACATTATCGACGCAATGTCTTCAACACATTGCACAAACTTTCGCATCCAGGTGTTCGTGCAACCATCAAGCTTATAGCAGAAAGGTTTTGCTGGCCTGGCATGAATAAAGACGTGAGGGAGTGGGCACGCTCCTGTGTAAGTTGCCAAAAATCTAAGGTTATCAGACACAATAAATGTCCCTTAGGCTCGTTTAAAACTCCCGATGCTCGTTTCGACCATGTTCATTTGGATTTGGTAGGACCTTTACCAGATTCAAATGGATACTCTTATCTCTTAACCTACGTTGACCGTTTCACTCGATGACCAGAAGCAGTACCTATCAAGGACATCACTGCTGAAACAGTGGCCCGCACCTTCGTCGAACGATGGGTAGCAAACTTCGGCTGCCCTTCAACCATCACTACAGACCGCGGACGTCAGTTTGAATCTGAACTTTTCGGTCGGCTGACCACACTTTTAGGAATCACTCGCTTCCGAACGATTGCCTACCACCCACAAGCAAACGGGTTGGTAGAACGCTTTCACCGACAACTAAAAGCTTCACTTTCAGCTGCAAACATTTCTCAGTGGACCGACGCTCTTCCACTCGTCTTACTAGGTATCCGCAATGCAGTGAAAGCTGACATTGGATACACTGCGGCTCAACTCGTTTATGGAACGACACTTCGACTTCCAGGAGAATTCGTGGATCCTTCATCCTCTTCAATGAACATGGATCTAACCTTCTACACGAACAGGCTTACAAACGTAATGCGTTCAGTTAAACCTGCTTCCACTCGACCACAATCAACTGATGTTTTCATTCAACCTGACTTACGATATAGTACACACGTTTTCGTTCGTCGAGACTCGCATCGACGACCATTCGAATCAGCATACGAAGGACCCTTCAAAGTTCTTCAACGTGAATCTAAGTACTATATAGTCGATAAGAACGGAACCAACGATAGCATCAGCATCGATCGCTTAAAAGCAGCGTATGTAGAAGGAAATCCTATCTACGTGGATTTTCCTTCGGTACAATCGAACGACACGACTCCGACACTTATAATACCTCATTCGACAACCAACACACACGATGATACTTCGACAGTATCCGAAAATAAACTTAAAACGACGCGTTCTGGAAGAAGGGTGAGATTTCCAGAACATTTAAACGACTATTGCACGTAAGGTACTTCTCGACATTTTATATTATTTTTAAAAAAAAAAACAATTTTAATATGCTTATATATTTTTATTTCTATCTAAAAAAAACAAAACCAAAAAAAATCAATTTTTTTAAACGCTATTACGTGTTCATGAGTTTATTTTCCATTTTTTTTCCGCCGACATTGTGTTTTTACGCACATAAGAGTGTATTTCGACATGCACTTACATTTTCTTTTTTTTTTTCCAGGACGGCTGGAAAAGAACGATGACGTTTATGAGGATCCGAAATTTTCATTGTACATTTTCTTTCTTTACTATGTTGTACCTCCGTCTCATATAGTAAGGAAAGACGACCAGACGCTGCTAGATTTAGTAAGCTATCAGAAGAGTGTTTACCAACGACAAACTCGTTGGGTTTAAACTTCTGGCTGGCCACGTCTTAGGGTCGTCACTGCCCCACTAGGGGGGGGAGTGATCTGTAGCGGTAAATAAATCCCCAAAATAAATAGCACTAAGTTTTCGACATTGGATGCTGACCATATGTTTTAGTGGACTCATCTAGCTGAAGGCGCTCGGTCAGGCATCCGCACCAGATCACGTGTGGTAACGCCGTGATCAACATCAACCGCAATCGCTAGCCTGATTAGATCAGAGAATTCCGATATATTGGTCATCGCCAAATACACTCTTCCGATCTCCTCGACTCTGTCTTTTGATTTCTCTGGGCGGGAACGAAATATATTAGAAGGTGTTACTGGTAGAAGCGTTGTCAAACACTGAATACCTGTGACATCATCAAGTGTAACACGACGTAAGAAGTGTGTTCAAGGTCATACAGTTAAACAACACGTACAATCATTTAATGGTAAATGTACAGGCTATGAAAATAGACAGAATAAATACAAATATCATCAAAAACCATTTACAAAATAAGCTTGTCATGCATATTTCCACAGATCCATGTGGCTTTGTGCATGAGTTTGTGGGGGAATATTGTGCCTCATATAACCCTTTTGTTGCGAACCTGCCACCATTCTCGTTCCTCAGCCACAGTCCATGTCATTCCATGACATCTCCATACGTGATGTTGTTCATTTCGACTTTGGCGTTCAGGTTCCCCATTAGGATGGTCAGGTCATTTCCTAGGCACTGTTCTATGATCGACTGCAGCCTCTCATAAAACTGATCTTTATTGTCGTCGTTGCTATCACTGATGGGTGCATAACAGTGTATAGTATTCATTGTAATCCCCTCCTTCTTCGTTTTGAATGATGCTTTGGTGATCCTGGATCCATGAGATTGCCATCCTATTAATGCATTTTCTTCTTCATGACCAGTAGCATCTCTCCCGAATCCATCCTTTTCTGTCTAGATTGGGTCCGAAGGTTTCACTGATTCCGAACACTCTCAAGTTGTATCTCTCCGTTTCCGTAGGGGTTTTATTGGCCCTCCGAATCTTCTACATTGGTCGAACATTCCACGTATTTACATTAATTGTTGCTCTGATTGTTGGAAGGAGCGTCTGACTCATGGCTTCCGAAGAATCTCGGCTTTCATCTTGAGGCATCATAACTATCCTAATTGTTGATGTTCATTATTAGACTAGTTTCAGTGAGATGTTTCAAATGTACCTCACAAATTTTGTTGGTACTTTTACCAAACTCGTCAATGTCCAATCGCTTGATGTGCGTTAAAGTAACGAATACTTTGTTAAGGAAGACAAAAGTTATTGGAAAAATGGCATACTTGAGTAGTCACAGAGATAAAGAAACTCTAGACAGTTCGTTTGGCTATCTGGATGATTGATGGAGAGGTTTTTGTCCGTGGTTTTGTAATCAGAAATGATGAGGACATTTGGATATGCACCTTTGGATCTCTAAGTGCATCTGCGTTTACAAGATAATATCATTGTTTAGAACTATTGCAGGAAATTAACTACTCTTCCTGCCCATAAAGTAAAATTCCTGTGTTAGCTGTTGGGCTGTAACTATAATTTTTATTTCCTCCAGTATGATTTCTTACTCTACATTATACACTAGCATATATATATATACTCCATTCTTTCTCTCTAGAGGAGAAGACAATAGTTTCGATGGGTGAAGAAAGCATAGTAGATGCATTTACTTATAGCACTGATAATTTTAAGAAGTGTTCAATAACGACAGAGCGATGATATCAGGCGTAGTTTTTAAACATATACGACAACTTGTATCGATTATCGAATTATCCTAACAACACACTTGTTACCACTGATTGTTGTCAGTCGCTTTCATTTCTCGATGTAAGTGCATTCTATGTGGTTACTGAGTCAACTTATGAACTGTTTTACAAAAACTGAAAAGTGTAATCTCTATATTTACCTCTCAAACTCACCTCATAGATGGATGAGATTTTCGAACATTTCCATAAAGTATTTGAAGATATGACCTTTTCAGGGTTCTTTACTCGTAAGCTTTGGGCTAAAATTCTATTGTTTTAATATAAAAGCAAAGTTCAGAAATCAGTCACCACGTGATGAAATGCTACGCCGACCGGTATGTCTTCTATTTACAAAACTGACATATTTTAGGCGAATGAATCAGATTACTTGCAAGTGCCGGAGCCGTGGATGCCTTTTCCGTTTTATGGAGACTTGGTAAAACCAGATATGATGGACAGAAAAATGTTCAGTGAGACTTTGGTAAGTCCATAAGTTGAAATCCGGGTGACATTGATGTTTCATTTCGCATGCAATGGTGTGTTCCACTCTGTTCTTGAGTCGCCTCATGTGTTCAGATTCACGAAACCCATGATTATGCATGTAGGTAGGCACTTTAACTCTTGTTCTCTGATTGTACGTTTCTACATCTTTGTAAAACCAAGTCCAGAAGTCTTCAGTAGTAAGAATAAAAGGTCTATCGACCTATATTAATCCTTGAAACTCGTAACACGACGTCTAATCTCTTTTTGAATGCATCAACCGGTGCTGATGTTACGTGTTGCGGTAGAGAATTTCAGTGAATCACTACTACGTGCGGGAAACCGAATTCCAGACGTAAACGACTTGATCTCCATTTTGAACTTTCTTAAAGTGTCCTCTCATATTGTCAGTCCTAGATGAGATGAAAATATAAGACACCAATATAATTTTTCAGCATACGGTAAGCCAGTAGGTCGGCTTGTTAAACATAAAAAAGCCACTCCTAAAGATACGTTATTCTTCCACATAGTTTATAATGGTCGTTTAGGTCGTTTTTCCCGTTAGTTTGACAGTCATATTAGTAAGGCCGGCAGGTCGATAGTGGTTAGCTAAGTCTCTACTCCCTGTATTGTGAACCAAATCGATGATCGCGTCTTTCCAGTTTCGTGGTAATTTCGACTGTTTCCAAGACATGAGACAGTTTTACCAGAGGTCCAGCTTTCAAAATGCTAGGATAAATATCGTCATTACCACCAGACTTATCTGGTTTGAGATGTTGTAATCTTATGACAGTTCCTTTCTCAATAACTACAGGGTCCATCGACAAGTCGCCCTGGTCGAGATTAATTGTTAGTCGTCTCTCATTGCCGGTAGAAAACACTACTAAGATATTCTGATGAATCATCAGCTTTTTTGGCATCATCTCTTGCCAATATCAACTGATTTTCTTGTATCAACAGTTGTGGAATTCCATCACTTCTGTAAGTTCGCCTCTTTATATACGAGAATAACCTTTTCGGACAGTGTTCAAAATCCCTAACCAGTTTTTCATATGACTGTCTAGTCTTCTCAACGCTTTACTAGCATTCCTAGTCTTACAATACCTGGATCTATGCTGTTCTAAACCTGTAGAGATAAACAAATTCCAATGCTTTTTCTTATGCCTAAGAAGTTTATTGACTTATTTAGTTATCCATGGTGGTCAGTCAGTTAGGTACAAGGTAAGATCACGCACATATATGCGTCGATCCACGTTGCCATACCGCATCAGCACAACAAGATGAGCACCGGATTCACAGCAGTGGTTAGGTCAAAGGTGGTAATATATAAGAGAAAGATTGCATATAGAAATATAGTACAAGAATACAGTGAGGTGTGCATTTTTAGGGTCGACCTTTTCTAACCCCACCCCTCCTTGTGGGAAGGCAGCATCGCTGTCATGCTGGTTGTCTGAAGGAAACACCTTACTGCTGTCACACCTCTGTACAGTCAGCAGTACGACTTCGCCTTCGGACCTTGGGTTTGTTGCTTTTAGTCTTACCGCTCTTCAACCGACCTGTCTGACATGGTAGGACCTTGAGGAACAGTTGTTCCAGCCAGTATAGCTCGGTTGCTTCATCACGATAGGCAAGCCCGACCACCACGTCAAGGTAGCAACAACGGTCGGGATATAGTACAAGAAGAAAGAATTAGTTCGTAGAAAGAAAGATATAAAGTGATTTTAATCTCTTAGTTTAAGGGAAGACAGGGAGTGTATACACCGACGCCATTGTGATCGATTCTGAGCCATGTCACCAAGAGTCTCCAACCATTGGTTACGAAAGTCACGCGGACCCCAACCAAGTAGTCTGCATCTACCAACATGGCTCAGACTAGAAGTTAGTGTCTTCAAGGACTGATGCCACGTTTTGGTTTGGCCGCCCCTAACTCTCTTCCAACCATCCCCAACATTAGTCAGCATTGCACGTCGTGGTAGTCGGTGTTCAGGCATACGTAACACGTGACCCAACCATCTCAGTCGATGAAGAATTACAACCTCATCAACTGATTTACCATCATTTCCTAATACCCTGCGTCTAACCTCACCATTACTTACCCGGTGATCCCAGCAGACGCCAGCAATATTTCTAAGACATCTGTGGTCAAATACTAGTAGCTTACAGGTGTCTTCTACTCTTAATGGCCATGTTTCGCTGCCGTAAAGTAAAACAGAACGGACTGCCGCGCAGTATACTCGTCCTTTTATTGATAGACGGATATCTCGCCTTCTCCGTAGGTGACGTAAGTTGGCAAAAGCCAAACGAGCTTTTCGAATTCGTGCAGAAATTTCGTCAGACACCAACCCATTAGGGCTGATCAGACTTCCAATATAAGTGAAGTTGCCAACGCGCTCGACTACTTCACTCCCTATCCTTAGTTCAGGTGTTGATGCAGACCAGTCCTGAAGCAACAACTTGCATTTAGAGGGAGAGAAGCGCATCCCAAACATTCTGGCATTGTTGCTTAGTGCTACCAAAAGACTTCGTTTTATCAGCATCTTCACCAAACAGGACTATATCATCTGCGTATTCTAAGTCGATAAGTGGGCCTCCTGGTAGGAGATCAATTCTTGAAAATTCAGTCGATGATGGCGTTATTTACATCAGTAGCTGTATGATGAACTTAAACAATAGTGGAGACAGTTGACAGCCTTGACGGACACCACTTGAGTTTGCAAAATCAGATGACAGTTCGCCATAAGCTCTGACTCGACGAGTAGTGTTCGAGTAAAGAGCCCTCACGAGGTTTATGTACTTCTGAGTTACGCCATTCAATGATAGACACTACCACAGAACCTCACGATCTACAGAGTCAAATGCTGCTTTCAGGTCCAGAAAGGCTACCATTGTCGGACGCCGATAAGTATGCCTGTGTTCTAGAATCTGACGAATGGTGAATATGTGGTGGATGCAGCCACAACCAGGTCTGAAGCCAGCTTGAGTCTCTCGTGTTTGCAGTTCACGAGTCTTAGTTAGGCGTCTGATAATTATCGAGGCTAGTATTTTAGATATTATATTAGTTAAACTAATCCCTCTGTGGTTGTCACAGGATGATTTTGACCCTTTCTTGTATATTTGGACGATAAGTGATTGTGACCAGTTAGATGGGATAACGTCTAACTCCCAGATCCTAGCTAAAATATTAGTCAACCTAATCGCTAAAATTGGACCACCATCCTTAAAGACCTCTGGAGCCAGTCCATCTGGACCAGCTGCCATTCCTCGTTTCAGATTAACTATAGCCTTTTGAACTTCAGCAAGAGTTGGGGGACCTACTTCAATGTTCCATTCACACTGTCTGGGAATGGAGGGTAGTTGTAGAGTAGCTGAAGGCCAGTTGAACTGTCCTCTGAAATGTTCCGCCCATCGTTCTAAACGTCTGGACTGACAGCAGATGAGGGTGTCGTCTTTTTCCGAAATAGTCTGACTTACGCTTGAATTATTAATTCCAGTTTCTTTTATTAGTCTGTAAAGCTGTCTTGTGTTCCCTGTAGTCGCCGCCTTTTCCATCTCTTTTGCTTTCATTGCCCACTACTGCTCACGGTTGTTTCTTAGACTTTTTCTTAACCTAGATCTGATTTGTTGTCGCTCTTCATCATGTTCGGAACCTGATGGGACGAGTTTGCGAGAATCCATCAGTGTGATAGACTTTGAAGAAATCCACTGGTTCTTTTTAACCCTGTGGTTTAAATCACTGATAGATGTCACTGCTGTTTGTATGGCTTTCCAAGCAACAACTGGGTCAACCTCTGCCAGGGAAGTCCTACTCACTGCCTTCTCGTGGCGGGGGTGTTGTTTACGAAAATGAGAGGACGAAAAGCGAATGTCCGGCGCTTTAACCGGATTCCAAACCAATGGTGCACATAGGCACCAGTATCCTGCGGGATCAAATGGCGTATGAACCAATTTTCGGTCACCGGCTACCATGGGACTACATCTCCTTACGATGCTCCACTGCCTTGTGGGTTAGACCTTTAGGTCAAAGGCTCGGGGTGTGGCCCCCTAAGAGAACCACCTGCTTCGGTCTGGGCACCCGGGCAGTAACGCAGCCCACACGCAATTAATGAACTGAAATTGTGTGGCGGATATATGTTTGGCGCACTCCTGTACCAATATATATGTGTTCAAATAAATAAATTACTTACCCGGTGATCCCAGCAGATGCGAGCAATGATTCTACGACGTTTATGCTCAAGCACTAATAACTTACGACAATAGTGCACCCTTAATGGCCACGTTTTGCAGCCGTAAAGTGAAACAGAAGACGGAAGTTTATTTAAATCGATATTGGTTTCTTTCCTCATAAGTTGTATTTGAGGATTGGGTAACCCCAACAACTACGTATCCGGCGAATTTAAATCTACTCCTGTGTACAATTGTAGTTTGAGTAACATTGTAATGACCCGAATTTTGTGATTTTACTGGTATAAGTAATATTTTAATGTACTTTGGTATAAATCAAACACAGGCGTTCAGTGACTTTCATTTAAAAGCCATTCCTCGGTTTTTACTGTCATGAAAATTGCCATATACACTGTAATAAAATATTGGTTATTTTCTCCTGTATTTATTCAGCAATTTTCTTGAGATCTACATCGCGCAAAAATCTCAGACAAAAAACAGAGTATATGGTTCACTTATGATTATTTATCAGACAAATTTCTGTTACTTGTAGTTTCCATTTTCAACTTTTGATGAGTAAAGATTAAGTGCAAACCCTATCAAGAATATTTTTGCATCAAACTGTAGCCTGCTAAATTAGTAGTACTTAGAGAATCGAATATGAATTCAACATGTATGTGACTTTAATGATTTTTCGAGGGGCGGTAGTGTAACAATTATAACTTCCCCATTACATGTGCCAACAAGAACACTTCTGATTGAAGGTTGATGTAATAGTTGACATCAACAGTAACTCAGTCAGTATTAACCAATTAGGATGTTAGTGATTGGCATCCCATC